TAAGATACACACTAGGACCCCTTTGAGCACCAATATCAGATTAGGTCTGGATCCTACAGGTAAGAGTGTTGATCAATCACTTTATAGGAGCATGATAGGTAATCTGCTTTATCTTACTGCTAGTAGACCTAATATTGCATTTAGTGTAGGAGTCTGTACGCGTTTTCAGAATGATCCTAACGAGTCACACCTGAGTGCTGTCCGACGTATTATTAGATATGTCAATGGTTCTGTTGATTATAGCATTCTGTATTCTAGAGATTCTACTCTTGATTTTGCTGGATATTCTGACGCCGATTGGGCTGGTAATGCCGATGATAGAAAGAGTACCTCAGATGGTTGTTTTTACATTGGTGCAAACCTCGTGTCTTGGATGAGTAAAAAATAAAATTCTATCTCATTGTCCACAGCCGAGGCCGAATACATTGCTGCTGGTAGTTGTTACACTCAAATGCTCTGGATGAAACAGATGTTGAGTGACTATGGGATTGAACAGGATACTATGACTGTGTTTTGTGACAATACAAGTGCTATTAATATTTCTAAAAATCATGTTCAACACTCTCGAACTAAACACATTGACATCAGACATCATTTTATTCGAGAGCTTGTAGAAAGTCAAATTGTGACACTTGAACATGTTTCCAGTGAAAACCAATTAGCTGATCTATTTACTAAACTGTTGGATGGTCTTCTGTTTGAGTCTCTTCGAACAGCTATTGGTATTTGTGTCCCTCTGATTGAGGTTATTTGGTGTATACTAGTATGCAACTACTAATTGGTATTATGATATGCATGCATCATATTTTTTTTATTTATTTGTTCTCATGCATTTTTTTTTTTATGGTTTGTGTTTTGTTTGAATTCTTATGTTTTGTGTGCTTAGTGCATTCATTTTTTTTTTTCAAAAAAAAAATCATTTTCTTTTATTTCTTTGGTTTAAGTTTTTGTTTTGAGAAAAAGAAAAACAAAAAGTGAGAACAAAAAGATTTTGATTTGGAAATTGATTTTACAGCATGATATACAATACACTTGATTTTATTGGTGTTAGTCAAGAATGAGTTTATTTGGTGGGTTGTAATATAATTTTCATTTCTAACTTAGGATACTTGTGGAGTATTTAATATAGGTCTCTTCATATACTATCTACACTACACACACTATGATCGTGACAGTAGGACTCTACCGTATGTGTGAGATTTGGGATAGGTGTCACACGTTCACAGGGTAACTTTGAACATGAATTGACCATTTCTATTAGACCTAATCTTGATTTTACCCCTGCATGATTAATGTATAGTTGAAAAAAGATAAGTCAATGGGGCTCAATATCTTAATGTTACTTTTCGAAACCTACTTGACTCGAGTGATTAAGCTTGCAGGGTTTCTCATAACCTTGTGCCCGTGGTCAACTGACTTGGGTTAACTGGCGTGAAGCTCGTTACAGGGGTCATGTTAGTCGCTTAATGGAAAGTAGTCTGCACTTAAGATTGAAAATATATTTGAGCGATCCTGTTGCAAATAGTGAAGAATGAATAACTGTTTGTGTTGTAAGTCAGGGGGAGAAGACATATTCTTTGTTGGACATGAGCTTTCATATGCAGGTCCTAATGTGCTTTTAGGTTTAACTTTCATAAGTAGATGAATAAACCTATTAATAGTGGTATTTAGCATGTCCTTTCTTACAAAATTAAGGTATGGAGTCCTATTGCCAGAGGATTAGTGACACTTTACACGTATGAGTCACTTATATCATTTACTCCATGGGTAACTTATGTTGGCATTGTGAGATAGTTCCATGTTCACTGCATATACTTGTGATTGCTTATACCTGCATTGTTGAGTTGTTGGGTAACTAATGTTTTTGTTATGTGTATAAACCTACAGTGTTTATACCTGCATTTGTGACAAAAAGAGGGAGATATTTTTATAGTAATGGGGAGCTATATCATTTTGATTTTGCATTTTCTATTTTGAGCGGTTACATTTGTCTTCTTAGGGGTCGTTGGAGTGAGACATAGATACTGTATAGACA